GTCCCAGACTCTCCCAGACTCTCCCAGACTCTCCCAGACTCGTCCCAGACTCGTCCCCAGACTCGTCCCAGACTCGTCCCAGACTCTCTCCCAGACTCTCCCAGACTCCCAGACTCTCCAGACTCGTCCCAGACTCGTCCCAGACTCTCCCAGACTCGACTCCCAGACTCTCCCAGACTCTCCCAGACTCGTCCAGACTCTCCCAGACTCTCCCAGACTCGTCCCAGACTCTCCCAGACTCGTCCCAGACTCTCCAGACTCTCCAGACTCGTCCCAGACTCTCCCAGACTCTCCCAGACTCTCCCAGACTCGTCCCAGACTCGTCCCAGACTCGTCCCAGACTCCCCAGACTCGTCCCAGACTCGTCCCAGACTCGTCCCAGACTCTCCCAGACTCTCCCAGACTCGTCCCAGACTCTCCCAGACTCGTCCCAGACTCTCCCAGACTCGACTCGTCCCAGACTCGTCCCAGACTCTCCCAGACTCTCCCAGACTCTTCCCAGACTCTCCCAGACTCAGACTCAGACTCCCCAGACTCTCCCAGACTCTCCCAGACTCTCCCAGACTCTCCCCAGACTCGTCCCAGACTCTCCCAGACTCTCCCAGACTCGTCCCAGAACTCTCCCAGACTCTCCCAGACTCGTCCCAGACTCTCCCAGACTCTCCCAGACTCTCCCAGACTCTCCCAGACTCTCCCAGACTCTCCCAGACTCCCAGACTCTTCCCAGACTCGTCCCAGACTCGTCCCAGACTCTCCCAGACTCGTCCCAGACTCTCCCAGACTCTCCCAGACTCGTCCCAGACTCGTCCCGACTTTTCGCTCCGGGACGTTCGGAGACGCTGAGAGACTTAAACCCAAACCTGCCCACAGTCTCTCCTCACTTACCCGACGTGTCCTGAGCTCACTGATTATTCACCGAGTTTATAAAAACGTCTCACAGCTTTCAGAGACCAGCGCCGAGTTCTGTTAGTCCTGGTTTTAGTCCTGGTTTTAGTCCTGGTTTTAGTCCTGGTTCAGTCTTGTTTCAGACCTGGTTTAGTCCTGGTTTTAGTCTTGTTTTAGTCCTGGTTTTAGTCCTGGTTTAGTCCTGGTTTAAGTCCTGGTTTAGTCTTGTTTTTAATCTTTTAGTCCTGTTTTAGTCTGTTTAGTCCTGGTTTTAGTCCAGTCTGGTTTAGTCCTGTTTAGTCTTGGTTTAGTCTTGTTTTTAGTCCTGGTTTAGTCCTGGTTTTAGTCTTTTTAGTTGTTAGTCCTTTTTAGTCCTGGTTAGTCCTGGTTTAGTCCTTGTTTGTCAGTCCTGGTTTTAAGTCCTTGTTTAGTCCTGTTTAGTCCTGTTTAGTCCTGGTTTAGTCTGGTTTAGTTTCCAACTGTTTTAGTCCTGGTTTAGTCTGGTTTAGTCCTTGTTTTAGTCCGGTTTAGTCCTTGTTTTAGTCCTTAGTCCTGGTTTAGTCTGTTTTAGTTTTAGTCCTTGTTTAGTCCTGGTTTAGTCCTGATTCAGTCTTGTTTTAGTCCTGGTTTAGTCCGGTTATAGACTTGTTTTAGTCCTGGTTTAGTCCTGGCTTTTCACACACTTTTATTTTAAACAATTTGAAGATAATTAATGTCAAATGTCAAAGGTCACACACAGTTTACATTTAGTTATTTACTTTAGTTTTGTTCCAGTTTAGTTTTCGTTTTCAACACGTAATAATCGTCATTTAACGTTTCCGTGTGTAGTTGAAAATCCTGAAATTTATTTACATTTTTCTGTGATAATTGTTCAAACGAGCGTCTAATTTTGATCGTTTTAGAATCGATTTGTTTCTGGATGTGTTTTTTGGACGTCGACATAATCCAGATCCGTCCTGGTTTGAGTATTTTCAGATGGATGAAAAAAGATGAAACCGGGGCCACAAAGAGTCCTGGTTTAGACCTGGTTTTAGTCCTGGTTTAGTCCTAGTGTAGTCTTGTTTTAGTCCTGGTTTAGTCCTAGTGTAGTCTTGTTTTAGTCTCGTTTTAGACTTGGTTTTGTCCTGGTTTAGTTCTGATTTAGTCCTGGTTTACTCCTGGTGTCGTCTTGTTTTAATCCTGTTTTAGTCCTGTTTTGGTCCTAGTTTAGTTCCTGTTTTAGTCCTGATTCAGTTGTGATTTAGTCCTGGTTCAATCTTTTTTTAGCCCTGGTTTAGTCCTGGTTTAATCCCATTTTCATCCTGGTTTAGTCCAGATTTAGTCCAGATTTAGTCTTGTTTTAGTCCTTGGTTTAGCTTTGTTTTTAGTTTGTTTTAGTTTTGTTTGTCCTGCTTTAGTCCCCTTTTTGTCCTGTTTTTGCCCTGGTTTATTTAGTCCTGGTTTAGTCCTGATTTGGTCTTGTTTTAGTCCTGGTTTAGTCTTGGGTCAATCTTGTTTTAGTGTTTTTTTAATCTTGGTTTAGTCGTGGTTTAGTCTTGTTTTAGTCCTAGTTCAATCTTGGTTCAATCTTGTTTTAGTCTTATTTTAGTCCTGGTTTATTTAGTCCTGGTTCAGTCTTGTTTTAGTCCTGGTTCAATCTTGTTTTTAGATCTGGTTTAGTCTTGTTTTAGTCTTGTTATGGTCTTGTTTTAGTCCTGATTTAGTCCTAGTTTATTTACTCCCGTTTTCGTCCTGGTTTAGTCCTGGTTCAGTCTTGTTTTTAGAGCTGGTTTAGTGTTGTTTTAGTCTTAGTTTAGTCCCGTTTTCATCCCGGTTTCGTCCTGGTTTATTTAGTCCTGTTTTAGTCTTGTTTTAGTTTTGTTTTAGTCCTGGTTTAGACCTAGTTTAGTCCTGTTTTTGTCCTGCTCTGGTTTAGTCCTGATTTATTTAGTCCTCTTTTAGTCCTGCTTTAGTCCTGGTTTAGACCTGGTTTATTTAGTCCTGTTTTAGTCCTGGTGTAGTCTTGTTTTAGTTCTGGTTTAGTCCTGGTTTATTAATTCCCGTTTTCATCCCGGTTTAGTCCTGATTTATTTAGTCCTGGTTTAGTCCTGTTTTAGTCCTGGTTTAGTCCTGGTTTAGTCCTGGTTTAGTCCTGTTTTAGTCCTGGTTTAGTCCTGGTTTAGTCCTGTTTTAGTCCTGTTTGTTTTTAGTCCTGTTTTAGTTCCTGTTTTAGTCCTGTTTTAGTCTTGTTTAGTCCTGGTTTAGTCCTGTTTTAGTCCTGTTTTAGTCTTGGTTTAGTCCTGGTTTAGTAGTCCTGTTTTAGTCCTGTTTTAGTCCTGTTTTAGTCCTGGTTTAGTCCTGGTTTAGTCCTGGTTTAGTCCTGGTTTGGCTCCTTTAATCTGAGTCTGTCAAACCGTTTTCTCTCTGTTTGAGTTTTGTGCTGTGATTTTGGACTCTACAAAAATACACCGAAATTTAAATTTAATGCAAATTTTTTTTAGGTTTTTATTTTGTTCATGCAGATTTTTTATTTATTTTTTTTTCTCTGTGTTCAGTTTTTGTCGACACGTTTGTTCTCACGTCGTCTTCTGTCGTACGATTAAATATAAAACCAGCGAGTCTTTGTGAACGGCTCTTTTTAAAGATCCGGTTCTTGTGAAAGAGCCGGCTCTTTTTAAAGATCCGGTTCTTGTGAAAGAGCCGTCCCAGCTCTGGTCTGTTTTACTTCTGATATTTGAGTCTTTATTAAAACACGACTGTGGGACTTTTTTCGGTCTTGGGCCCCTCGTCTTGGTTTTCTGTTTCTTCAGTCCAGTTCAGGTCCGACTCTGTGCTGCAGGACTGCCCCCTGCTGTCCACACGCGGTACTGACTCATCCAGCCTCAAAACACACAGCAGACCTGGTTTAGACCTGGTTTAGACCTGGTTTAGACCTGGTTTAGACCTGGTTTAGACCTGGTTTAGACCTGGCCTGGTTTAGACCTGGTTTAGACCTGGTTTAGTCCTGGTTTAGTCCAGGGTTTAGACCTGGTTTAGACCTGGTTTAGGGTTTAGACCTGGTTTAGACCTGGTTTAGACCTGGTTTAGACCTGGTTTAGACTAATAAAACTACTACTACTTCTACTACTCTACTATAAGTAATAAAATAACTGCTACTGCTACTACTACTACTACTACTATTACTACTACTACTATTACTACAACAACAACGAGTACTCAAGTACTACTATTACTACTATTACAAGTACTACCACTAAAACAAGTACTACTACTACCCCTAGTACTACTATTATTACTAATACGACTACAACAAGTAGTAGTACTACTACAAGTATTACTAGTACAACAAGTACTACTATTACTACTACAACAAGTACTTAAGTACTACTGCTATTACAGCAAGTAATACTACTACTACTACAAGTACTACTACTACCACTGCTACTGCTACAACAATTCTTCCTATTACTACTACTACTACTACTACTACAGCAAGTAATACTACTACTACTACAACAAGTACTTCTACTATAAGTACTACTACTATAACTATTACTCCAACTACTACTTCTACGTCTACTACTACTACAGCAACTAATACTACTACTACTACTACTACTACTACTACTACTACAATAATACTTCCACTATAAGTACTACTACTACTACAACTACTGCTACTGCATCAACAGCAACTACTGCTACTACTACTACTACTGCTAAACCTACTGCTACTACAAGTACTACAACTACTACTACTATACTCGGTTCAGTCTGGGCTTTGAGTTCAGAGCAGTACTACAGTATCACGTGTGTATTTGAAAAGTACTTGTATTTGAGTTCAGAGCAGTACTACAGTTCAGCGTGTGTTTTTGAAAAGTACTTGTATCTGAGTTTAGAGCAGTACTACAGTATCGCGTGTGTATTTGAAAAGTACTTGTGTATGACTTCACAGCAGTACTACAGTATCGCGTGTGTATTTGAAAAGTACTTGTGTATGACTTCACAGCAGTACTACAGTATCGCGTGTGTATTTGAAAAGTACTTGTATCTGAGTTTAGAGCAGTACTACAGTATCGCGTGTGTATTTGAAAAGTACTTCAGACGCTCTTCCTCACGTCGCTCGTCTTCCTCAG